TGATAACCACAGTGATTCAATCGAAGAGTTTTCAAATTCCTCAATTCGTCTACAATAGATATTGCTATTTATGTAGGCACAAACACCTCCGCCGTTTGAAACCAGTCTATCGTTCCTAAACAGATTGAAATTGGACAAGGATACCAAATTGTCAGGAATTGCAGAAGATAACCAAGTCTCTGTAATGCAGACCATGTCCGTTTGGTTAAAAGACACCACAGCGTCAAGTTCGTCGACCTTGGACGTCAGGGAGCGGAGATTACAAATTAAAAGGTTTGGTATTTTAGTGGAGGGTAACGTAGACTCAAATTTTAAGCGTTCAAGTGTATTAGTTTTTTGTACTGAATAGGAGTATCGTGATGGGGTCGATTCTGGTAGATCGCTGATCGGGAAAAGCATAGGAATGCATGTGGGAGAGGACTCAAGGGCAATACATGGAGTGGAGCTCTGTTTATGAGGATTTAGTAAAATCTGTTTTGGTGGATCTGGGAGGATAATCGGGGAAAACTGGACGAGGGTAGTGGGATTTCCATTAATGGCCTTGGATAAGATGGGGGTCGCCATGGGTGTAGGCTGTACGTTTGGAGCTGCTGAGGTTGGGCTGTGTGGACGTTTGGTGGCAATGGCACTTGCGCTCGGGATAAAAAAGAGGCAGGTGGCAAATGGCTACTAGTAGTGGTTTTTAATACCGATCTTCTGGTTGGTACCCAAGCGTGGGAGAAATCACATCGATCGTCTTTCAGACAGAAGCCTCTGTTCTGCAAAAAAGGACAGGGGACATTATGTTTATGTGTATTGTGAGATGGTTTAAGATGCTGAAAGTCGCATCGGTCTCCCTTTCGACACCAACCTCGACGCAGAAGAAATGGGCAAGGAGTGGAATTCTTTGGTGGGCGGTCGTAACGATTCTTATTTGTCTGCTGGGTTCGCGGTTGCAAGGTCAAATTTTCATAAGTAGGTACACTAACTTCTGGATTGGACTGCATATTAGGCACATTACTTTCCGGTATTCGGTCTTCGTTGGCCTTTTTCTTAGTGCTTATGGGGACGTACTGCGTTGTAGGTGTGACAGAAGATATTTCAATAGCACCAGGGAATTTTTCTATGGAGGCCGAGGCCATCTTTTCTTCTAATTTGGAGATACGTGATTTGAGATGCAAATTTTCTTCACGCAGTTTGCATATATCTTGCTTATTTATGTTGATAGTTTCGTCTTGCTTGGTGAGTTTAGCCAATAAATTTGATATTTCATATTCAACCTTCTCTTTAAAATTGTCAAATAATGCATTTTTTGTAGTGGCGTTGTCGCTCTCGCGTTGTTTAAAGGGGGTAGAATTTACAAATACTTGTTCCACAGTACCCTTCGTTACTTCACTGTGTCGGGAGTTCATAATATTACAAAATGAATCGTCAATAAAATTCTCAAGCTCCACAAGCGACGAATTATCAATAGGTGATATTATATCTATTTTGGCGACAGGAATCTCGGCTCGATAATCATTATTCTCGGTTGTTAGGTTGCTTACTTCGCTTCTATCACCGGTGCAGGTTATTACTGAGACTTCGGCAGACTGTACGCCTGTGTCACTCTGTTGGGGCAACATAAGTTCACTATTTAGGCTTACCAGTAATTTCTTTAAAGACTCCCCTTCGCTAACTAATGTTCCCCAACTAATGTTCGTTGTTTGCCGCGATACCAAGTTATTGTCAGATCTGAGTTGCTTATAAACTTCTTAGAGTTCCCGCCAGGTGAAATCCATTTACCGCTCAAACCAACGGTATTTTGAATAAAACTCTCCAGTTCATCATAGTTGCCGTTCCACTTTAAACGTTTTCCATCATAGACAAGAGTGTTGTTGTTTTTATACGTTCGAATATCGTCCAAATTCACATTTCCAACATTAAATTTAGTATTGGGAATATCTATGGAGCTAACCTTAGCATGACCATTTGACCATCTCCTAAAAGAAAAGGCCGCTCTAATGACCATCATTTGACCATCTCCTAAAAGAAAAGGCCGCTCTAAATGCCAGCACGCACCGTCATAAGAGGAATCAAGTGCATAGTTCTCTAACTAACACAACACGTTTTTCGAAACCTAATTACCGGCGCAATCAGTTTTCCAAGCCTAAATATCAATATCGTCAAACAAATTTTCCCTCAAAGAATTTTCGAAGCGTCGCTATCGAAGGATTCCGAAACCAAGAACAACAACCGCAGTAAGTACAGACACAAGAGCAAGCCAAGTCAACCCGATATTCAAAGTGAAACCTTTCCAATCAAAGTCAGAGTTACAGCTCGGAGAAACGAAGTCCTGGGAAGCCTACCTACAGTTCGTCAACCGCACCTTGGACCAGTTTGGAACCCTCGTCTAGGCGCAATCCAACGGACATGTGATAATCATACCTCTCAGAGGAAGGTAAATTTTAACAATTTAATTAACATTAAAACTAATACAAACTCTCTCCCCCCCATTGGAAAGCGCTGCCTGCCCAACCTTCTCATTTCCAATGTGCGCTCAATTGCCTCTAAGATAGATGAATTAAGTGTCGTTGTTTCCATCAACCAAATCGACATTGTGTGTATTACTGAGACTTGGCTTTCCTCTACGATTCCCGACTCGGCAATATCTCTTCCAAATTTTAATATTATTAGAAATGATCGCTCTTCATCTTGTGGAGGTGGAGTGTGCATTTTTATAAACAACAGTATATATTGTCAACGCCTAACTGCTTTTGAAGATCCTACAGTTGAGTCCTTGTGGCTCCTCGTTAGACCCACATGGCTCCCCCGCTCGACTTCAGTTATACTATTGGCTGTAATCTACCACTCTACATCAGCTGGCCACACCGAAAATGTAAACCTTTATTCTCATATCCAAACCAATGTTGATACTTTCATGCAATCACATCCTGATGCCCTTGTTTTAATCACAGGAGACTTCAATTATAGGAGTACTGGTTTCAACGCAAAATATATTCAAAGATCAATTGGCCTTTTCCAAATAATTAAGGTGCATACTAGAGATAATGTAACCTTAGACTGGTGCCTAACTAACCGCAATGATAGCCTATACGATCCTATCAAATTTCCACCTCTAGGAAACAGTGATCATAACATGGTTTGTTTAAAATCCCTAAATCCCCCTTTAAAACCTGATAAAGTCAAGGTATGGAAGCGGGACCTTAGGGAAAGCTCGGTACAACCTTTTGGCCGCTGGATAACTTCATTTGATTGGTCAGATATTTTTACTACAAATGCGTGCGAAGATAAGTATGGAAAATTTAATGACATAATGAGTGATATGATTGATATTTTACTCCCTTTGAAAAGAACTAAAGTAACTAAATGTGACAAACCATGGCTGACGTCATCAATAAAAGAGTTAATTATAAAACGTCAAAAAGCTCTCCATTATTATGGGAAAAATTCTGATGCGTATAAACTCTGGCGAAACCAAGTCCAGCAATCAATCAATCAATCAATCAATCAATCAATCTTTTAATCGTCTTAAGATAAAAGGTACATATCTTAAGTTACAATAATTATTATTCTATAAGTTATATTTAAAAATAAGTCTATTTACAAAGGTGTTTTTAAATCTATTTGTGTTAATCTTAGGATAAATTCTATTCTGCTTTCTAAGGCGGTAATTAGTTGTCTTCTTCTGAGGTAAAATCTTATTTAAAGGATGTTCAATATCTGCAATACATTTGTTATAAAGTTTTTTATCATTAATTTCTAAAAGTTCGCGTATGCTAATATAATAGGAGACATAGTGTCTTTTAAAACATCTATCTAAAAAAGCTTGCACTACAGACAGGTCAGAATCTGACGCACCATAAACTGAAAGACCATAGTTAAGAACAGGTAAAACCAAACTATTGAAAAGCTTGTTTACTTCTTCCTGACTGGCACCTTCTTTTCGCGAAGATCTTATTACATACAAGCATCTATTTGCTTTGAACAATTTAGCTTTTATATGTACACTATATTTACAATTTTCTTGAAATGTCATTCCTAGTACGGAAAGATCTGTGCATTGCGGAATATTATAAACAGGTGAAACGATTTGATTAAATCCTTTCTTTCGGAAAATCAGTTCTTTGCATTTTTCTGGATTGCACTTCATATCGTTATCCTGAGACCAGATTAAAAATTGTCCCACCAAATCAGTTCCACATTCTTTATTTTTCCACATTGGAACAATCGTATTGGAGTCGTCCGCATACTTGAAGAGAGCGGGTCTGCCATCCAAATCTAATTCCAAATCGTTCATAAAAACATTGTACAGATACGGTCCGCTCACGCTTCCCTGTATTGTACCCTTGTTCACAAATTTCCATTCACCTTGAAAATTATTATAAACCACTCGTTGTTGTCGATTTTTCAGAAAACTTAAATACCAATTAAGAATGTATGGAATCAATTAAATCGGCCCGATTTAAGTATTATGCCCAATCAGTTGAGAAACTAAAAACTTCCAATCCCTCAAGATGGTGGAAACAAATTAAGTCGTTGGGTGGTATATCTTCCAAAAGTTGTTGGTATAACCAACTACTTTCTAATGATATTCCTAATTGCCATGACTTGGTTGAAGTATTTAACTGTTTCCTTTCCGGTCTTACATCACATTTTACTCCTTTAAAACGCGAGGAAGAACAATTGGATTTCAATGTACCAGGTGAATACCTCATCGACGCTAATAAAGTGTACAATGAACTCCGCAAAATTAAAACCAATAAAAGCCCTGGTCCAGATATGATACCTAACAAAATTTTGAATGTCTTTGCATATGAACTTGCTCCAGTTATTACGGACATTTACAATTCGTCTATCATTCAGGGCGTGTTTCCGATGAACCTCAAACGGTCTATTGTAGTTCCAATCCCTAAAGTCTCACTACCTGAAAGCGTGGAGGACGATCTAAGACCCATATCATTAACGTCCCAAATTTCTAAGGTCATGGAGGGGTTCACCTTGACAAAATTATTTGCACAAATTGAGAGTAAATTGGACACGAAGCAGTTTGCGTTACCAGGGAAATCTACGACTCACGCCCTAACATACCTCCTGCACACCATTTTGTCTTCCCTTGAGAACACTTCCTGCTCCGCTAGATTGTTTTTTGCAGACTTTAAAAAGGGGTTCGATCTGGTTGATCATAATGTCATAATATGCGAGCTGGAAAATCTTGGTGTACATCCTGCCATAGTGAGGTGGATAAAAGCTTTTCTTAGCAACCGTGAACAGTGTGTGCGAATTGAAAACTCATACTCGTCGTGGAAGAAAACAAACGGTGGTCTACCACAAGGAACAAAACTAGGACCGCTACTTTTTGCAGTCCTTGTAAATTCTTTGCTCAAGGATTGGCCTGGGAGAGTCAAATTTGTCGACGATACTACGGTCTTGGAAATAATTCCACGATGTTCACCAAGCTTCCTACCAATTATCGTGGACCAAATATCCGATTATGCAAACGAACGAGGAATGAGACTAAATCCAAAGAAATGCAAAGATATGGTTATTACGTTTCTTAAGTATAAACTGGTAGAAAATGACATTTTTATAGGCGGCGATGTGGTGGAGAGAGTCTCCAGTTTTAAACTACTAGGCGTGTGGTTGACTAACAATCTTTCGTGGGATATACACGTAGATAACATTTTAAAGAAAGCGAATTCACGCATCTATGCTTTACGCCTATTAAAGAAAGCTGGATTGAGCCCTTTAAACATTGTTCATATTTATTGTGCAGTTATAAGATCCCAGTTGGGGTATGCATCACCAGTTTGATCCGCTCTTCCAAAGACATTATCAGACCTTATTGAGTCGGTGCAAAAAAGAGCTTTAAAAATCGCGTATCCCCATCTATCTTATGATGAAGCATTACACAAAAGTAACATTAAACTACTGAGTACAAGAAGAGAAGAAGCATGTAGGAAATTAATTAACTCACTTCGAGACTAAGATTCGCCACACAACCCTTTAACTGCAATAGTTAAATCCGGTCTCGATTTAACAGACCGAACTCAGAATTATGATCTGCGTAATAATAATTCGCAACTCTTACCGATTATGTCTGAACGGTTAAAGAACTTTTTTACCATTAAATATAGTTAACATTTTATTAATACATTTTTATAATAGGTAGTTAATAATAAGTATATAACATTGTTAACGTAAATTTTAATGTTTAATATTGTAAATATCCTTTCCATGCAATTCAGCTTTAGCTGCAAAATGGATTTTATTAAACTAATAATAATAATAATTTTATTACTACTCGGCCAAAACAACATTAATTCGCCGTTCGCGACAGTATTGCTCTTTTTTGATGGGGATTTTTCAAAAGTTTGCCATTTGGGATGCCACAAGAGTTGCCTGCGGAGGAGGCTAAGTTTTATTGAAGATATCAGACGACAGTTAAAGGGAAATTCTTCGCTCTATTTAATTTAATTTGTTTTGCACTGAAATAATCGATATCAATAGATTACATTGTAAAAGTTGTCGCAATAGAGGAAATCAAAGTATTACTACAAAAATTTTTTGTCAGTTAATTCAATTTTTGTGGTGATTTGTGGCCCTAAACAACCGCTGCAAAATCGGTCTTTCGAAGGCTTCGTTTATGTTGTTTATGTTTTAAAAATCAACCAAATGGAAACACGCATATCTTCTTCTCCCGCTGAAAACCCTAGCAGTTTTCGCGCATGCTCAGACAATTTTCCCACCTGTTGAAGCACATTCGGAACTGAGTATCTAGATTCTTTGACGATATTTTTGTTCGAATTGTAAGTTCCTTGAAATTTGCATAGAATTTCTGAGTTGAGGCTTCTCTTCACACGCAGCGATAAGAATGAGAACAATCTGAACGAAGATTGGACAAAACAATTATTATTTCTTCTTCGAAGCAAAATTGCCGCCATTACAACAATTTTCCTCGAGGAAGTGAATTTGATACCCAACTACCAGCATGCATTGCGTCACATTATAGGTCTAGGCTTATTAGCCATTTCACAATCGAGCAGAGGACAGGGTCTCGTCGCTTGTTTGGAGGGACAAGAAATAAACAATATGCCGAATATGGCGTCTAGGAAGTTTTCCTATATTCCTAAAGTTATTTGTGCAGCCTGAAACGCAACAATTATAATAAGGCTCGCTCACTAGAACTTGTTGTCCTTCCAAACCTCCCTCCAAACATCAACTAGACCCAGTCCTCTGCTCGATTGGGAAATGGCTAACTGTATATGAATATAAAGAGATCGTATCCTATGGGAATGGGGTTTTGAACATAGCTTTTGATATTTTGCAGTAGATTTGGTATGAGCAAATAAATCCCGTGAGGGTTGAGGTAACATAGCCGGTCCACAAAAGTTACATAGCTGCCCGCAAGCAAATTGTACCCGCTAAGGAGAGGAGGCTACCATCTATCAAAATATCGCCATTAATTGTTCGATGTTGATCTCCATCCTGAATCCAACACGCGATTGGCGAGCAAAATCAAATGCACTCTTTTTTAGTAGCAGATCCAGTTTGCACTTATTTGAACTTTGCGCGGTAATGTGCCAATTAATGTCTGCTGACATTATTATGACAACTTGATTGGTATATTAGCTTAGTTCATCATTGTCAAGGCTTTTCCTACGTCACATCCATGCATGGGGTCAAATTTCGTGCACGCATAAATTGTTTAATTTCGCTATAAACCTTATCACCAGACATGAATGAAGGGCTGAATCACATGCCACAGCCCCAGGTGGTCTTCCGGCTTAAGGATATTCGTTGGCGACATGCTTATGTCCAAACGTTTTGCACTGGCCTGCAGACCAAGTGTCTTAAATCCCTCTTTTTCTGTTTTTTCCTGTTTTTTCGTTGTCGAGAAATCGAGTTTGCGTTAGCTCATCGCAGGCTCAGGGTGCAACGATTAAGCCAAAATGCCATCGATTCCTCGGTTCCATGATTTAAATACTATAGTAACAAGCTCGTATTTATGTACGTAATAGCCGGCTCATGCCATGCTTGTGGTACATTTTTCGTTTATTAGCCCATACACTTGTACACACGCGCACAATTCCGAACTCCAAGGATAGCGGAGTGCTCCAGTGACATATTCAGTTCATGAATTTTTCTGTGTTGGTGTAGTGTACTGAGGTGAATATGATATGCTTGTGATGTTACTCTGAGTGCATATCCACACCAGGGAAGCTTGGAAAATATGCCTGTCCACGGTGGGAATCGAACCTACGATCAAAGGTTGTTTATTAGATGTTTACTGGTTGGGGTTAGAGAAGGGCTTGGGGTTGGGATCAGTTTATCGGCTTATAAATGGAAGCAAATTGGCGTATTTTTTACTGGAAGAATCGTCTATGTCTATGTCTATGAACTTTTTAGGCCTGAAAGAGCCATATGGCATTAAAAATCAAGGACTATATAATTTCTTCGCTATTATTGGCCCATCATTATTTACAGTTGTAGTTGATGATCATACTAGTTACAGTGGGCCTGGCTTATAAGGTCGACGAGTTGCCCGTAGCCGGAGGGTACGCCTGAGCCGGCATCTTAATTTGGTATATTATGGTTGATAGTTGCTGAACATGATTATATTTCATATTTTTCAAGCTCGCCCGGTGTGGATATACACTCAGAGTAACACCACAAATATCATATTCACCTGAGTACACTACACCAACACAGAAAAAAAAAATTCATGATTGTATTTATTGGTTGTATTTATATGGTCCAGACCTCCTTTATCCCTATCTACTCCTCTACTACACATTACACCCTACCTGACATGAAAGTTGCCATTTTCAGGCCAGTAGTGAACGTCTGAGCAGGCGTCTTGTTTTATTTTCAAAAGCCAAACGAACGGAGACAAATGACCCATGGATGCAGTTAGTTATTAGAAATTTATTCGGGGTTATCCAACTAGATAAGGTCCACACTAAAAATTCAAGGGTTATCGTTTGCCGTATATAAAATCCTAGCAAAAAGGCGGAGAGACTGGATCACCAGCTATGGCTGTAAGGAAGTTTCGACTTTCAGAATTATCCTGAATGTGGATCAGTTCGTGTATAACCGTATTAACCGCCAGAATAACCGGCAGCGTTGGACACGGTAGCTATATTCAAAGTGTTGATTAAAAGGAAAATCGCAAATGAAATCAGAAAATGCTATTCACTGCCTGTTAGTACTAGTAGCCTTTAATAGTAATAATAATAATATATTATAATAATAATACTTTAATACTATATAGTAATTTCAGACGAAGGACGCGACGTT